TATCACATTTCGTTTCCCTCTCGAGTTCAGCTCAAATCAATGCCATCATTTTGAATGCTTATCATTTGAATTTGATTTTATCATTCTTATCACTGAAAGGTCGATGTTAGCACGCCATCAATTCAGATCACGTCAAAAATCAATTTTTTCTTCAAATCAAAATCAAAACCTCTCTACCTAATCGTTCATTTAAATCGGCATTCGTTATGAAATGTGTTGTTCTTCAGATCATTCAGAGCTGTTTATTGTCTAGTGTATCTGGGTTGAATCAAACACGATTAATTTAATTCGATTTCAACTAAACCCTGAATCTCATCGATCAATTCCAATTCAAATGAATAAAAAATTTATAAAAGGACTAACAATTAAGCATTTATTAAGACTTCATCAGTCTATTCAAACTATCACCAAATATTCTTACTATCGTGGAAGCTTTCGGAATCAAATAATTATCAAATAATTTGATTACGAAATTAGTTGATTACATATGATCAAAAATTAATAATTGCGAAATTATTGATAATAAATATTCTTTTGATGAAAAGAGAAATTTTTTTGATTTGATTTTTGATTTTCAACTGAAAGAATTTCAAAACGTTCGAAAGGCGTCATGTTTTTGTTTGCTTTTGGTGCCGTGTGAGCGAATTAAGTAGGTTCGTTATCTTTGAGTGACATTCAAATATGAGTATGTGAACTCTGTTATCACAAAACATCCAACGCGTGCCTCTACATTAACCGAGTATTGCCTTCTTCACTGATAAAATTTAAGATTTCATCGCGCTTCACCTTCATTCTTCTTTCGATTACTGATACTCGTTTCGAGAGGTGAAAATTTTTTGAACATTTCATGTGATCACAATGAAGTGAACTTCATTGTTTGTTGTTAGGCTTAAGAAACAATTGTTTTGAAAGTTTCAATTCGTTCATTTTATCAGTTTTTCATTTGGAAACCTTTTTATCAATAGCAGTTTGCAAGCGATATGTCGTCATGCGAACAAGAAAGACAACACAAACGATAGCGAAACTAAAAATAACAGTTGCTAGGAAAACGATGCACAATAAAAGTTTTGTTACGAATTTAAAATTTCATTCACTCATTCGAAGATAATGCGCACAGAAACGCTCAACTTCAGTGTTCACAATTCAAGAATGTCATCCGTCCATCCATGCCACAGCGGTCGGTTCCATCAAGTTCTTCTAAACAAACAAACCAAAAAATGCCGCTTAACAGCTGCTCATATCAGTGATTGAGAAATGTGATAAGTGATAATAGCGACGATCATTCTTGTGGTGCAATTGTTTTGCGATACGAAGAACAATCGCTCTCATTATTTTCCAGTGCTTTTCTGCGTTCATCATTTGAATTTCATCGGCTAAATCATTCGGAATGAACTGAAAATTTTCCATCCACTCACACGTTTCGAAGTGCTTTTTTTTGTTGTTCACATTCATTTGTTCGTCTTGCAAAAATTCACGTCTGATATTCATTTTTATTCGAATTCAACGCTCATCAAGTTTTGCAGCAATCATAACACTTGTGCTGTTATTGATTGACGGATAAACGATGTAGTAATAATAATTATTTATGTTATCATGATCGTAATCTAACACATTCAATGCAATTACCACTAGTTCACAGACATGATCCGTCTGTCTGTCAGGTATTGCTAAACATTATCGAGATAATATTATAATCCAACTTATCATTATTCTACGAATCTTATTCTCATTCTATTACTAGATTCATTATGATTCACCATTATAATTACCACAATATTATCAAAATCACTCACATATTAATAGCGGTACCAATATCAATATAATTAATGGTAGTTCGTTGGTACAGTCGTTTAGAATATGCGTTCTTGATCAGTCGAATCGTTGATCGATCTGATTTATACTTTACCTGTAAATGCGCGTTTGGTTCTGTATAGTGGTTCTATTCGATATTAGTTTTTGCTGAATTGTAGGCAGTGCATTGAAATTCGAAATTTCAATTTCACTTTCATTATTCGCCAACGGTCAAAAGAGGAACTGAGATGGTCGGGGTTCGAATAGACCCTGTTGATACGGAGGACACACGTGTGCTCAAATGCGTTCTCGTCGGAGATGCGGCCGTTGGTAAAACTTCATTAGTTGTTTCGTACACAACTAATGGCTATCCTCAAAGCTATATTCCGACAGCTTTTGACAATTACTCAGGTTTATTCGTTTGTTGTTTGGTTTCTTTCGCTTCCCTAATTTGAAGTCACTCCTCTTCTGTCAATTTTTTCACTCCTCTAAAATTTTTTTCGTTCACATTCCAATTATTGCTTTTAAATGCGAAGTTTTCCAAATGTCTTTGATATGGGAAAAAGGCTATGAAATTAAGTCGTCAGAGATAAGAAAGAAGTATCAGAACCGAGAAAAAAAAACGTTCGTAATGTTGATGATCGCACGCAGATGTGCTGCAGTTCGAATGACATTCTGGTGACGAGTCACGACGAGTTCTAAGCCTTCGAGTAAAGGATGGATGGCTTTATGTCGAGCCATAGGTACTTGTCAATGATAGATGAATGCATGCAATCGCGATTTTGTGGTTTGTTCACGCGCAAAATTGATCACTTCTGTGAATTGCTCACACACATGATCGACTTTTAATGGTATCGCGAGGATTGCGCTGCACAAATCCACTCACTCAGTCACTCATAATCTTGTTTCAAAACAGCAAAAATGCTTCTTCGTATCATCTTCTCTGCAACTTTCCATCCATTCGGCATCACAAAACATCGACGAAACCCTCGGCCATCAATTGCTGGAAGATATATGTTTTGGTATCAGAATTTATTCGTCCGTATGCACATTATTCGTGCAAAATGACAACGATCAAAAGGCAAAAGATTAATGCTGAACGTTTCGATGTGATCCCACGAAATGAAGCAGTCATACGAGAAGAACACTTACGATTAGGGATTGAGTAACCNGATAATTTTCTGATCGTCAATTCTAAGCAGTACGATTTTACGCAAGCACCCGTACGTAAAATGCGTTCTTTTTATGGATTTTCGATTGCGCATAGCCAGACTGACTGAATCATGTCGGTCTCTGAGGCAAAATTAATACAGCTGATCTGAAAGCGTGGTCAAACACACGGAACAAGTTAGTTATACATGCAGCATCGAGTATTTTCCCTGATAGAATTGATTGTTCGATGTGAATTAATTCCAGTAGGAAGAGCAATCCACGAAACATTTTATTGAGCTTCCTTCTTATTGATGCTAATGTATGTTAATTGGTGCGAATGAAGCTGATTTTTGGAAATTCACAAAAGACTGTATGGCTTTAACAACTCCAAAATGAACGACGGAGTTTTTGGAATACGGCTGAGATGACCTTAGCAAATAAATTGTATCCCGCGAAACTCGCCCGGCTGAATAATTCAGTCATTGTTAAAAATTGTTCGGATCATCAAATGCAATAATCGTTTGTGGTAATCGCTAAACAACTG